TAGAAGTGGAACCGTATTGTCCACTTTGTCGGTGTCGATTAAAGGTTGAGGGTTTGTGCCTTTATTTCATCATTGTTAAGTTTTTTTTTTTTTTTAATATTTATTTTTCATACGATATTTCATTTTATTAATATTGTTTTAGATCTTCATTCGAACCTGGCTTTAGCTGGATTGATCCAAGAGCTTCATGTATATTGTGCAAATAAATGTTATGGCTGCCCTACACTCGTACGCCTTGATTCACATAAACATCATTTATTGTCTTGTTCTTACACTCCAACATCATGTCAGAACTCACAATGGGGATGTGATTTTAAAGGTACGATATTAGAATAAATGGATTTATTCTTAAACATTGTATTTCTACATGTGAAATTAACCAATGACGATAATAAATAGGAACTATAAAGACTGTTAAAGATCATCTTGACATTTGTGTTTATGAGAAATTTAAGAATTATATTCAAATGAATGATGCTAGAATCGAACAATTAGAAAAAACTATAGAGGTATATTTATTTGGTTCCTTAGTGCGGGAACTTATATAAGAGTTCAGTTTTTTTTAAATGTCATAAATTTAATAGAAATTTACGAGTTTGAATGTTTGAGAGGAGGCCAAATTTAGGTAATGTTATTTACCTTTAACCTCTTAGGAACAACAGCGTAAAATTGAAAATTTACTATTACTAGTGAAAAAATCAAGACCCGAAATTGTGGTAAAAATATGTGCGAATTTTATTAAACATAACTTTTTTATAATAATAATATAAAATAAAGTATTTTATTCATTTGTCAAATAGTCATCAATAGACTCTGTTATCGTTAATGGCAATGGAATTGATTATCGTCCGTTAATAGAAGATGATAAGACAGATGTAGGTTTAGGAATTATTATAATAATAATAATATTTATTTATTTATTTCTTAATAATTAACCGATGATGATAATTATAGACATTCCCACTTGGTGAAATTACTTGCCGGCAGACTATATCTGAGCATACTTGTGGTGTTACATCACTTGCATATGATAAAGGTTTGATTTATGCTGGTGCTCATGATGGATCAGCAAAGGTTTGTTATCATTATTTTCAGATTTATTGACCAATGTTTTCATTCTGAATATGACAAGGAATGACATACAATTCAACCACAAGATATTCAAAGCAGATTCTGGACAAATGATCAAAAATTTACATGGTCATCGAATGTCCGTTTGGGCTTTAGCTGTAAGCCCAGATAATGAAAGATTTTTCAGTGCAGGATCTGATGGGACAATTAAAGTATGCATACATGTGCTAATTTAACAGATAATTTCATTACATATTCATAGATTTACCTAACATATTTGTTTTTATATTAGGTGTGGGATTTGAAGGAGGATACTTCTGAAAATTGTATTAGTACCTTGACACAACATAATGGTAAAATATATGGATTAGTTAGTAGTATGAATAAGCTTTACTCTGCTTCATCAGATAAAACCATCAAGGTTTGGGATCCTGTTACATTAGAAAACATATCAACGTTCACTGGCCATTCTGATGGCGTAAATAATTTGATTGCAATGGACAATGGAAAGTTGGCAACTGCGGGAAGTGACAATACTGTTAAGGTAATTATGTGAAATTGGTAGATTGTTTTTATTATTTTATTTTACAAAGCTTTCATAAATTTGTTTTTATAGATTTGGGATGTGACAACAGGCGAATGTATTCAAACAATATCCTCTCATTCATCTGAAGTTTTAGATGTTGCATCGGGTGATAATCTTTTGTTCGCCTCAACGTATGATGCTGTTATACATGTTTACAACCTTAACGATTACTCATCCGTTGCTACACTGTCTGGGCATAATTGGGAAGTGTGGCAATTGCAATATACTAATGGGGCAATGTTTAGTGCAAGTTTTGACCATACAATCAAACGGTGGGACATACGAAACCATTTGATTTGTAATGCTACATTAAAGGGTCATAAAGGCAAGTGTTATTTCTAGTGCTTTGGCGTACTTAAAATCTGTTTCTTTTTTGGTTAAATAAGTCTATGTGAATACTAAGTTATTTTTGTTGTTATTTTTTAAGGTTTTGTACATGCTATGACGTTAGGTCAAAATAATTTAATAACTGGTTGCGCAGATAGGACCATCAAAGTATGTTAATATTTACATACTATAAATTGCTTTTACTTTTATGTTAATAATTGTATTATCTGTTCACACAGATCTGGAAATGACGACTTTAATAATCATCCAAGTTTTGATAATATATAGCATTAATTTTTAGCATTATTATGTTAATTTTTATTTTACAATCATGATTTTTTCTTCGAAAAAAAAATCTATTAACTTATTCCATCTGGATACATTATTTGTATTATTTTTAAAATTTGCCATAAAATCATTTATTAGTAACTTAATCTAATTAATATTTAATGAATAATTCTACCGAAGATTAATGAACTCTATACTTACTCACTGGTAGTTTAGCATATTTGGGAATGACAAAGAAGTAAAATTGATGGATATTTCTGCTAGTAATGGACTTACCGTCTAACTTAACGATACGTGAACGAACTAAGTAAAAATCATTTAAAAAAGCTATGATGCAGAACCTCTAGTCACATCACGAAATAATTGATTACATTAAAATCTTAATACTTTTTAGTATAAGCTCTTTTTTAAAAAAAAACTTTCTATATTTATATTCTTATATTAAAATTAAAGAATATAAATATAGAGTTTTTTAAATTCAGTACTTTATCTTATTATTAATAAATACAGAACCTTTAGTTATAAAAAATTTAAAATTATAAATTATATTTAGTCTTAGCATATTATATTTAGTCTTAGCATATTATTGTTTTATTAATAAAAAGACTTTCGTTTTTTTTATTTAATTAAATAATTAATTTATTCTCTTTTTATTTTTTTAAGAATTCAGCATTCTTATAATATATCTTATAATACTTTTCAAATGAACTGAAAATTTTGGGTCGGGTTAAAAAAATACGTATAATAATATTATTATTAATTAATTAATTGCATAATTCATTTATAAAGAATTGATTTCATTATTAGAATGCGGTCTTATGTGACAACCCGTGCTTTTTTCATTTACTTTATTGGCACGGGATTGTTACGTCAGACACCGTGCAATATGCCAATCATATTGCGCCTTTTGATATAACGTGACTTCTACTGCATATTTATCGGATTGGCCAATTTCGGAACTTTACGTTCAATGACTTTCTATTCCTCCCGGCGAAGATTACGTACACTTAGCTTTGCCCAAATTTAATATGTTACACTGCATTAAAAATTGCAAAATTATCGATTTGAATAATATTTAGTGACATTTGTAAAAAGATATATAAACCTTACCTTTTTTTCATCTTGTAAAGTAGCCTAAAACTATCGATTTATATCGATCTATATAGATCGATATTTTTCCGTGTCCCTGATGGGTATTGAATAGTGATTTGACCCGAGAAAAAAAAATCACCAATCGGTTAACCGAACCGAATTATTCTTTCTCAACCGATTACAACCGGTTATAATAACTAAAAAAAATAAAAATAAAACGCGAATTAAAACTATACTTCTGATTTTAATTCCACCGATTAATAAATAATCTTCAAACTCACTAGCTAAATTAATGTGAATGAAACGATTTGAGGGATAAATAAGTATTTATGTTCATTAGTTGGTGATTTTAATTCCACCGATAATAAATCATTCGTTGAATGAAATGATTTGGAAGGTATTAGGTAGTGGTAAATAAGTGTTAATGAGTTGCTAATTTTAATTCCACTGATTAATAAACCATCTTTGCGGAAATCTTACATTTTTGCGATAGCATTAAAATATTCTATATCTAGTGTAAATTATTAATAATATAGGAAGCTAAGAGGTAATTTTACTAGTAAATTACCAATTTAGTTTCTTACTAGCACTATTAACGAGGTATTGACAAGGTTTTTTAAAAAAATTACTAATTTTTCATATTTCGTCAAAAACCTCATTAATACCTCGTTAATAGTGCTAGTAAGAAACTAAATTGGTGATTTACTAGTAAAATTACCTCTTAGCCTCCTATATTATTAATAATTTATACTAGATATTGAATATTTTAATGCTATTGCAAAAATGTAAGAAGATCTTTATACTCACTTGCTGGGTAAAATTACTTGAACAATAGTTAATGGTAAATTAGCGTTAGTAATTTTCGATTTTAATTTCTACTGATCAATAAATTGATCAATAAACAAAAATTCAAAAACTCAAAAGGTAATTTCACATTTTTATACTACCACATAAGTTAGTCAATGAGATACTAACTGCAAAAATATGATCATAAAGGGTTTACGATGTATGCTAAGAGATTTTCCTTTAATATTAACTACATAAATGGAAAAACTTTTTTGAATTAAAGTGATATTCTTCTTAGGTTATATTTTTGGTTGAGAACGTTTGCGAAACACAATAATTAAGAAAAATATGAGTTATTTTGAATCTACTGATATTTCGAATCTTTTTATAATTAGCTTCTTCTTAAGCCAACTGGTTGTTGACTTTAATTCTTAACCGTTCAACTGTATTTGTCTAATTCGGATCAGTTAACCGGTTAGGCACTAACTAGACGTCTAAAGTGGAGTAGGTTAACAAAATCAATAAAATTATTATTAACTTTAGGGTTAGAATAGGCCTGAATTAGGGTTAGGAGTAGGGATGGGTTCGGTCAGTTACGATCAGTTATGGTCAGTTATTATCAGTTATTAGCTTATAGCCAGCTAACTACGATCAGTTATATAAGGCTAATGACCAGTTATAACTGATCAATTATTTAATCAATTATTTATATTTTTTGTTAAGTAAACCCTTCCTTTACTTCTAATTAAAGTTGTAGAGGAATAAATTCTGGTTATAATGATGGTTAAAATGTCAAAATTGACCTAGTGAATCATGAGATATGAGTATTTTAATATTCATGACTATTGTTTTCTTTTGGTTTACTTAAATAAGATCGTGAAAATTAAAATATTGATATCTTATGCTATTTTTAGCATTTTGATCATCATTATAATTAGAATTTCTTTCTCTACAACTTTAATTAGAAGTAGAATAGAGGTTTATTTAATAAAAATTGATTTATATTTAAAAAAGTTTTAGATTCTAAAAAAGCTAAATTTTTTTTTTTTTTTTTTTTTTATACTTAGATGATCTTGCCCTTCATTTTATTAGGAGAAATATTAAAAAATATTTAGACAGGTACATAATAAAAGAAAAAAACTATTCTACTTTTGAAACTGCCCTCCTTATTGCAATTCTGGACTCACTCAGCTGTCTAGAAGATGCCCAAGTGCGATCTGCTGCAGCAGCATTTTCCTTCTGAGACTAAACATATGTTTAAACATACTTGTTTAGACTCTATCAAAAGAAGGCTACTACTAGCCCATATCAAGAAAGCCTATTTAATTTTAAATTTTAACTATTTCTCGTGCTCTGCATTTTCAATTCACCTCAAGATTTGGTTGTTTGAATCTTTTAAAATTTTTCTCTTTTCTCAGCTACTAAATCTTTCTTTTGAGAGTTTTTCAGAGAATTGTTCTCTTTGTTTGCTAGACTAAACCTAGACTGTTTCTCCTTTTTTCCTTTCTTCTTTTGCATATTGATTTTATTTTCTTTTTCCTAACTTGCCATAACTTCACAACGAAACTTCTATAATCTTTCATAAAAATTGGACCAAAATATATCAATAAACTAACTTATTATTCGGTTGGCTTTAGACCTGGAGCTTAGCAATAATCTAATATCATTGGTTTGTTTTTTGCTTATGATGCCTCGAAGGTATAACTTTTTTTGTTTAAGCTTTTCTTCTAAGTTTGTATCTAAGAGTGTGCTCACAAGACTAGAACTTGATACTGATAGATCCTATTCTTCAAGTATTTTCAGACCTAGTTCCTCTATTATTATTTCTTCTGTGTATTTCCAGATCTCTTGATATAGTTTGCAAGTAGCTAGATAGCTAAAAGTTTCTTCTGTTCTGAAGCATACTATATATGTTTTATCTTTATATAACTTAGGTCTTCTTTGGTAGCATATATCGCGTGTTGGTAGTAACTTATTCACGCATTTTATTCTAAACATCAAAGCCTTGTTTTTCTTAAGACTTGTGCATTTTCTGCCTTGATATTTCTTTAACGTATCTCATATATTTGTCTAATTTATAGTCTCATTGTTGTTAGTTGCTGGTCTCATATTTATTAGCTCATTTGTATTCTTTAGTTTTGCCTATTCTGTTTCATAGGTTATTGCTGTTGTAATATTCACAAAAGCTCTTATTGAGCAATCGATCAGATTATTCTTTTATTTAGATATAACCTTAATTTTATCAGTATCAACATCTTTTGGCTTAACTATTTTGTGTGAGTTGAGATTAAGCTTAGCGAGTTTGTCTACTTTGTCATTCTATAAGTTATCACTATGATCTTTGATCTTAATAAGCTCTAACTCAATATTTTTGGCTTTGTAGCATTCTCTTATTTGTCTAATTAAGCTTCTATTCTTAGTTTTGAATAGATCTTGAATACTATTTGAGGATTTGTTACTTAGTATTCCTTCAATTGCTACTTTGCTATCTGAGAAGATCTTAACTTGAGTATCACATAGTACTGCCAAAATTGCTGTCCAGATTGCTCTGAGCTCAGCTTGAGTTGAGGAGGGCCAGTTGACTATTCTACTATTAAAACATATACTATCTAAACTATTATTATATCTATTATCTATTACTTAGCCTATTCCTATTTTCTTTTCTCTGTTATTTTCTATTTCTTCGCTTGCTAGTAACCCATCTGTATAAATATCTAACACCTTTTCCCTTTTTAGCTTTTCTACTATCTCTCTTAAATCTTCTTGAACATTCTTATTTTCGATTACTCTTTGTATTATTGCTTCTTCTCTGCTTAGTATTTTTATCTAGATGCTATTCTGAATTGGGAGTTCTTCTCTTAAATACAGCTCACATTTATCTATATAGGCTGAGAGTAGTAGTTTTAAAGCGAATGTGCCTGTTTCATCTTTTGTTGCTTTGCTAACAACTTGGTGCCACTTGCTTATTGGCTTGCTAATTAGACAATCAGTATCGTTCTTTTTACCAATACTACATCCTTCACATTTTGCTACACTTGTTCGAAGTATATCTCCTGGATCTATACATTTCCAGTATGCTAATATAAATTTTTTTTAAGTTTTTCTAACTATTTTTCCTACTATCAGTATATTTTCTTCTTTTAAGATAACCTATTCTTTCTTTCTTTTATCTGTGCTAATTTTCTGCCTACTTGCCTTCATCACTTCTCTGTTTGTGCTTTGAGTTTTGAAGTTCTCTGTAACTTCTCTTGAGCTATAATCTGCAAGAACTTTTCTTTTAATTAAGTTGAACTAGTTTGGTTTGCGACCTTTTCTCCTGCAACCTCTTATTGATTTTATCTGATTCCAGAAGAGTAATTTGTTTTCTTCTTCTTCTAGTAACTGATCTATTGTGAATATATTTAGGTTTCTACTATCTATAAAGTCTCTCAGATCTTTGTCTGATAGTAAACTCGCTACTTCGATATCTTTTACTTCTATATTGTTTGTGTTTGTATGAGTTTCTTAGAATCAAAAACTAAGTTTAGCTATACTTTTAATAATATTATATGTTAGGTTG